GGATGGTTAAGTCAGTGGCTGGTTAAGTCAGTGACTGGTTAAGTCAGTGGCTGGTTAAGTCAGTGACTGGTTAAGTCAGTGACTAGTTAAGTCAGTGGCTGGTTAAGTCAGTGGCTGGTTAAGTCAGTGGCTGGTTAAGTCAGTGGCTGGTTAAGTCAGTGGCTGTGACTGGTTAAGTCAGTGGCTGGTTAAGTCAGTGGCTGGTTAAGTCAGTGGCTGGTTAAGTCAGTGGATGATTAAGTCAGTGGCTGGTTAAGTCAGTGGCTGGTTAAGTCAGTGGATGGTTAAGTCAGTGGCTGGTTAAGTCAGTGGATGGTTAAGTCAGTGGCTGGTTAAGTCAGCGGCTGTGACTGGTTAAGTCAGTGGCTGGTTAAGTCAGCGGCTGTGATTGGTTAAGTCAGTGGCTGGTTAAGTCAGTGGCTGTGACTGGTTAAGTCAGTGGATGGTTAAGTCAGTGGCTGGTTAAGTCAGCGGCTGTGACTGGTTAAGTCAGTGGCTGGTTAAGTCAGCGGCTGTGATTGGTTAAGTCAGTGGCTGGTTAAGTCAGTGGCTGTGACTGGTTAAGTCAGTGGATGGTTAAGTCAGTGGCTGGTTAAGTCAGTGGCTGTGACTAGTTAAGTCAGTGGCTGTGACTGGTTAGGTCAGTGGCTGGTTAAGTCAGTGGCTGGTTAAGTCAGTGGATGGTTCAGTCAGTGGCTGGTTAAGTCAGTGGCTGTGACTGGTTAAGTCAGTGGATGGTTAAATCAGTGGATGGTTAAGTCAGTGGCTGGTTAAGTCAGTGACTGGTTAAGTCAGTGGCTGGTTAAGTCAGTGACTGGTTAAGTCAGTGACTAGTTAAGTCAGTGGCTGGTTAAGTCAGTGGCTGGTTAAGTCAGTGGCTGGTTAAGTCAGTGGCTGGTTAAGTCAGTGGCTGTGACTGGTTAAGTCAGTGGCTGGTTAAGTCAGTGGCTGGTTAAGTCAGTGGCTGGTTAAGTCAGTGGATGATTAAGTCAGTGGCTGGTTAAGTCAGTGGCTGGTTAAGTCAGTGGATGGTTAAGTCAGTGGCTGGTTAAGTCAGTGGATGGTTAAGTCAGTGGCTGGTTAAGTCAGCGGCTGTGACTGGTTAAGTCAGTGGCTGGTTAAGTCAGCGGCTGTGATTGGTTAAGTCAGTGGCTGGTTAAGTCAGTGGCTGTGACTGGTTAAGTCAGTGGATGGTTAAGTCAGTGGCTGGTTAAGTCAGTGGCTGTGACTAGTTAAGTCAGTGGCTGTGACTGGTTAGGTCAGTGGCTGGTTAAGTCAGTGGCTGGTTAAGTCAGTGGATGGTTCAGTCAGTGGCTGTGACTGGTTAAGTCAGTGGATGGTTAAATCAGTGGATGGTTAAGTCAGTGGCTGGTTAAGTCAGTGGCTGGTTAAGTCAGTGGATGGTTAAGTCAGTGGCTGTGACTGGTTAAGTCAGTGGTTGGTTAAGTCTGTGACTGGTTAAGTCAGTGGCTGGTTAAGTCAGTGACTGGTTAAGTCAGTGACTGGTTAAATCAGTGGCTGGTTAAGTCAGTGGCTGGTTAAGTCAGTGGCTGGTTAAGTCAGTGGCTTGTTAAGTCAGTGACTGGTTAAGTCAATGACTGGATAAGTCATTGACTGGTTAAGTCAGTGACTGGTTAAGTCAGTGACTGGTTAAGTCAGTGACTGGTTAAGTCAGTGGCTGGTTAAGTCAGTGACTGGTTAAGTCAGTGGCTGGTTAAGTCAGTGACTGGTTAAGTCAGTGACTGGTTAAGTCAGTGGGTGGTTAAGTCAGTGGCTGGTTAAGTCAGTGGATGGTTAAGTCAGTGGATGGTTAAGTCAGTGGCTGGTTAAGTCAGTGGCTGGTTAAGTCAGTGGCTGGTTAAGTCAGTGGCTGGTTAAGTCAGTGGCTGGTTAAGTCAGTGGCTGGGTAAGTCAGTGGCTGGTTAAGTCAGTGGCTGGTTAAGTCAGTGGCTGGTTAAGTCAGTGGCTGGTTAAGTCAGTGGCTGGTTAAGTCAGTGGCTGGTTAAGTCAGTGGCTGGTTAAGTCAGTGGATGGTTAAGTCAGTGGCTGTGACTGGTTAAGTCAGTGGATGGTTAAGTCAGTGGATGGTTAAGTCAGTGGCTGTGACTTGTTAAGTCAGTGGCTGGTTAAGTCAGTGGCTGGTTAAGTCAGTGGATGGTTAAGTCAGTGGCTAGTTAAGTCAGTGGCTGTGACTGGTTAAGTCAGTGGCTGTGACTGGTTAAGTCAGTGGCTGGTTAAGTCAGTGGCTGTGACTGGTTAAGTCAGTGGCTGGTTAAGTCAGTGGCTGGTTAAGTCAGTGGATGGTTAAGTCAGTGGCTGGTTAAGTCAGTGGCTGTGACTGGTTAAGTCAGTGGCTGTGACTGGTTAAGTCAGTGGCTGGTTAAGTCAGTGGCTGTGACTGGTTAAGTCAGTGGCTGGTTAAGTCACTGGCTAGTTAAGTCAGTGGATGGTTAAGTCAGTGGCTGGTTAAGTCAGTGGATGGTTAAGTCAGTGGCTGGTTAAGTCAGTGGCTGGTTAAGTCAGTGGCTGTAACTAGTTAAGTCAGTGGCTGGTTAAGTCAGTGGCTGTGACTGGTTAGGTCAGTGGCTGGTTAAGTCAGTGGATGGTTAAGTCAGTGGATGGTTAAGTCAGTGGCTGGTTAAGTCAGTGGCTGTGACTGGTTAAGTCAGTGGCTTGTTAAATCAGTGGATGGTTAAGTCAGTGGCTGGTTAAGTCAGTGGCTGGTTAAGTCTGTGACTGGTTAAGTCTGTGGCTGGTTAAGTCGGTGATGGTTAAGTCAGTGGGTAGTTAAGTCAGTGGGTAGTTAAGTCAGTGGCTGGGTATGTCAGTGGCTGATTAAGTCTGTGGCTGGTTAAATCTGTGGCTGGTTAAGTCTGTGGCTGGTTAAGTCTGTGGCTGGTAAGTCAGTGGCTAGTTAAGTCAGTGGATGGTTAAGTCAGTGGGTAGTTAAGTCAGTGGATGGTTAAGTCAGTGGTAGTTAAGTCAGTGATGGTTAAGTCAGTGGGTAGTTAAGTCAGTGGATGGTTAAGTCAGTGGGTAGTTAAGTCAGTGGATGGTTAAGTCAGTGGGTAGTTAAGTCAGTGGATGGTTAATTCAGTGGGTAGTTAAGTCAGTGGATGGTTAAGTCAGTGGGTAGTTAAGTCAGTGGATGGTTAAGTCAGTGGTAGTTAAGTCAGTGGATGGTTAAGTCAGTGGTAGTTAAGTCAGTGGATGGTTAAGTCAGTTGGTAGTTATAGTCAGTGGATGGTTAAGTCAGTGGGTAGTTAAGTCAGTGGATGGTTAAGTCAGTGGGTAGTTAAGTCAGTGGATGGTTAAGTCAGTGGGTAGTTAAGTCAGTGGATGGTTAAGTCAGTGGGTAGTTAAGTCAGTGGATGGTTAAGTCAGTGGGTAGTTAAGTCAGTGGATGGTTAAGTCAGTGGGTAGTTAAGTCAGTGGATGGTTAAGTCAGTGGGTAGTTAAGTCAGTGGATGGTTAAGTCAGTGGGTAGTTAAGTCAGTGGATGGTTAAGTCAGTGGGTAGTTAAGTCAGTGGATGGTTAAGTCAGTGGGTAGTTAAGTCAGTGGATGGTTAAGTCAGTGGGTAGTTAAGTCAGTGGATGGTTAAGTCAGTGGGTAGTTAAGTCAGTGGATGGTTAATTCAGTGGGTAGTTAAGTCAGTGGATGGTTAAGTCAGTGGGTAGTTAAGTCAGTGGATGGTTAAGTCAGTGGGTAGTTAAGTCAGTGGATGGTTAAGTCAGTGGGTAGTTAAGTCAGTGGATGGTTAAGTCAGTTGGTAGTTAAGTCAGTGGATGGTTAAGTCAGTGGGTAGTTAAGTCAGTGGATGGTTAAGTCAGTGGGTAGTTAAGTCAGTGGATGGTTAAGTCAGTGGGTAGTTAAGTCAGTGGATGGTTAAGTCAGTGGGTAGTTAAGTCAGTGGATGGTTAAGTCAGTGGGTAGTTAAGTCAGTGGATGGTTAAGTCAGTGGGTAGTTAAGTCAGTGGATGGTTAAGTCAGTGGGTAGTTAAGTCAGTGGATGGTTAAGTCAGTGGGTAGTTAAGTCAGTGGATGGTTAAGTCAGTGGGTAGTTAAGTCAGTGATGGTTAAGTCAGTGGGTAGTTAAGTCAGTGGATGGTTAAGTCAGTGGGTAGTTAAGTCAGTGGATGGTTAATTCAGTGGGTAGTTAAGTCAGTGGATGGTTAAGTCAGTGGGTAGTTAAGTCAGTGGATGGTTAAGTCAGTGGGTAGTTAAGTCAGTGGGTAGTTAAGTCAGTGGATGGTTAAGTCAGTGGGTAGTTAAGTCAGTGGATGGTTAAGTCAGTTGGTAGTTAAGTCAGTGGATGGTTAAGTCAGTGGGTAGTTAAGTCAGTGGATGGTTAAGTCAGTGGGTAGTTAAGTCAGTGGATGGTTAAGTCAGTGGGTAGTTAAGTCAGTGGATGGTTAAGTCAGTGGGTAGTTAAGTCAGTGGATGGTTAAGTCAGTGGGTAGTTAAGTCAGTGGATGGTTAAGTCAGTGGGTAGTTAAGTCAGTGGATGGTTAAGTCAGTGGTAGTTAAGTCAGTGGATGGTTAAGTCAGTTGGTAGTTAAGTCATGGATGGTTAAGTCAGTGGGTAGTTAAGTCAGTGGATGGTTAAGTCAGTGGGTAGTTAAGTCAGTGGATGGTTAAGTCAGTGGGTAGTTAAGTCAGTGGATGGTTAAGTCAGTGGTAGTTAAGTCAGTGGATGGTAAGTCAGTGGGTAGTTAAGTCAGTGGATGGTTTAAGTCAGTGGGTAGTTAAGTCAGTGGATGGTTAAGTCAGTGGGTAGTTAAGTCAGTGGATGGTTAAGTCAGTGGGTAGTTAAGTCAGTGGATGGTTAAGTCAGTGGGTAGTTAAGTCAGTGGATGGTTAAGTCAGTGGGTAGTTAAGTCAGTGGATGGTTAAGTCAGTGGGTAGTTAAGTCAGTGGATGGTTAAGTCAGTGGGTAGTTAAGTCAGTGTGTAGGTGGGTTACATATAAGAGGTCCTCGCCACCCACACACTCACAGTGTTGGCAGGAGCGAGACGGGAAACACTACTGGATCCTGTCCTCCAGGCACTCAGTCCTCACGCACTCAACATCGCACTCGTACACACTCAGAAACAAAGCCACTCAGACTCTTCCATAAGTGTTACACTGGATTGGGGAACAAGTGGAGCGCAGGTGGTTGGAATAAATGTGCACTTGTGCAGGTCGCTTCCATGACACGTAAAGTGGTCTCAGAGAACTGTGTAACTTAAGTGGTAGAAAAATAACAGTTATATGGACTGAGCACGGGATACTGACTGTCACTGCCGTGTCTGAGACGACAGTAAACAGTGACTAGGAAAAATAATACCTTGGTAAGCTGTCGATGCTGGTAGTGTTGGGATTGTCACTGTTGGTGCACGGATAGGATACCTGGAAGGTGTTTCTGGGGGTCAACGCCCCCACGGCCGGTTCACGACCAGGGCTAGTGGTGGATCAGGGCCTGATCAACCAGGCTATTACTGCTGGCCGCACGCAAACCGACTTGTGAACCACAGCCCGGCTGATCAGGTACTGACTTGAGGTACCTGTGCAGCTTCCTCTTGAAGACAGCCAGGGTTATAAGGGTGCTCGTGTTAGATAGTTTAATATGTTTATTATGCATCCCATACCCATCCTGTGGGCGGTTGTCAAAAAATTAGAGGTACATAATGGGTCCAGGGACTGGACCGCAAAAATCTAATCGCTAAACAAGATACAGTGGGTGCTAGGGTGTAGAGGGAGTGGGGTGGCCACACTCCACACCCTCTGAAGCATCAGGGTTCGATCCCCGGACAAGCGGAAACGTTGTCTGGCACGTTTTCCGTCTAACCTGTTGCTTCTGTTCACTTATCAGTAATTAGGTACCTTGGTGTTAGCCGACTGTGAAATCGCATCCTGGGGGAGAGGATTCAAGGACCCCGGTGGTAATAAGCCATGGTGGGTTTATCACGTTATCCTGGTTAATAATTTGAATGAAATCCTTATGACATTACATGTGTTCTGATGGAGATAATATCGTTGGGGTGTAAACGCGACCCTATTTTAAATGTCCCACTGAAGGCAGTAATTTACTGAGCACCGCTCTCTACCATATATACACGAATATCAAAACAAACACCTAACCATTAACCTGTTGTTTAACGTTACCTTAAACAGCATTAAAATGATATTAATGTCTGCGTTATAATTGTGACTTTACCAACGACTGAATTCATTGGAAAAATTCTGCTCAAGTCTGGCGATTATAACCCTGATTAATTTTTAGCTATATATACAATATTTTGTTTGCCTTTTCAAGACTATCTCTATATTATGAGTACTTTTATGCTATTGCAGTAGTTTCTGAAAGTAAGATTATATTGCGAGTGTTGTGAGGCTATCTTTGTGTAGGTTATTACATCCTTACTGACCATATGTCCCACAAAACTAGTTTATTTCTATTGTTGTTGCATCTGGTGGTGATGGTGGTGGTGGTGGTGGTGGTGGTGATGGTGGTGGTGGTGGTGGTGGTGGTGTGGTGGTGGTGGTGGTGGTGGGTGGTGGTTGGTGGTGGTGGTGGTGGTGATGGTGGTGGTGGTGGTGGGGTTATGGTGGTGGTGGTGGTGGTGGTGGTGGTGATGGTGGTGGGTGGTGTGGTGGTGGTGGTGATGGTGGTGGTGGTGGTGGTGATGGTGGTGGTGGTGGTGGTGGTGGTGGTGGTGGTGGTGGTGATGGTGGTGGTGGTGGTGGTGATGGTGGTGTGGTGGTGGTGGTGGTGATGGTGGTGGTGGTGGTGGTGATGGTGGTGTGGTGGTGGTGGTGGTGGTGTGGTGGTGATGGTGGTGATGGTGGTGGTGGTGGTGGTGGTGGTGGTGGTGGTGATGGTGGTGGTGGTGGTGGTTGATGGTGTGGTGGTGGTGGTGGTGTGGTGGTGGTGATGGTGGTGGTGGTGGTGGTGGTGGTGGTGGTGATGGTGGTGGTGGTGGTGGGTGGTGGTGGTGGGTGTGTGGTGGTGGTGGTGGTGGTGGTGGGTGGTGGTGGTGTGGTGGTGGTGGTGGTGGTGGTGGTGGTGGTGGGTGGTGGTGGTGGTGGGGTGGTGCTGGTGGTGGTGATGGTGGTGGTGGTGGTGGTGATGGTGGTGGTGGTGGTGGTGGGTGGTGGTGGTGGTGGTGATGGTGGTGGTGATGGGTGGTGGTGGTGGTGATGGTGGTGGTGGTGGTGGTGGTGGTGATGGTGGTGATGGTGGTGGTGGTGCTGGTGGTGCTGGTGGTGGTGATGTGTGGTGGTGGTGGTGGTGGTGATGGTGGTGGTGGTGGTGGTGGTGATGGTGGTGGTGGTGGTGGTGGTGCTGGTGGTGGTGATGGTGGTGGTGGTGGTGGTGGTGCTGGTGGTGCTGGTGGTGGTGGTGGTGGTGGTGGTGTGTGGTGGTGGTGGTGGTGATGGTGGTGGTGGTGGTGGTGGTGGTGGTGGTGGTGGTGATGGTGGTGGTGGTGGTGGTGGTGGTGGTGGTGGTGGTGGTGTGGTGGTGGTGGTGGTGGTGGTGGTGGTGGTGGTGATGGTGGTGGTGTGTGTGTGTGTGTGTGTGTGTGTGTGTGTGTGTGTGTGTGTGTGTGTGTGTGTGTGTGTGTGTGTGTGTGTGTGTGGTTATATATTTATAATTATGTATAGCTACATAAGCTTGTAACAACCCATCTTCAATAGTCTACCGTAACGTTTTCCGTCACACTTCAAATATCTGCCTCATCTTGCAAATCATTCCATCAGTCTATAACTATTAAAAGCTATGCTTTCGACACGGCATTATCTAAATTGTAACTATAAATTTCATACCATTATTTCGTACACTTTGATGACATTTTGCGTATTCATGTCACCTCCTAGAAATGTTTTCTCTCTCTATTAATATTCTGTTGCGTCAGTTTACCTTCCTAAGCATCAATTATGGTGTCAGTTTCCTGCGTCATAAACAATGACGCATCTACGTCACTTTCTTGAACGTTATCTTAACAAGAAAACTCGTTTTTTTTTATTTTCAGGACCCATGATGTGAAACTCACGGAGAGAAAGAAACGTCTGTTTCACATCTGTGTGAACAATACGACGTTAAACTATATTAAACATTAGAAAGTGGAGAAGTTGAGAATATATATCACATATAGTTTTATTTATAAATATTTCTGCGCTGGAATAAAGGACAGTCGTGTGAGATGCAGCTTATTAGAAAGTCACAGAGGTGGGCGTCCCTATGTAGGCGTGGCGCCAGCACGCCCACATGCTGCGTGTGGGCGTGGGTAGTGGTAATGGTGGCGTTGGGCGGGGTGGTGACAGGAGGTGAGAGCCAGGAGGTGACCCTGGAGGACACAGTGAGGAGCCACACAGAGACACTCATCAACATGGGCAGGTACCTCAGACAGACTGACAAGTTCTGGAAGTGGTACCAACAGAACCACAGGTGAGTCCTTCAGGTCTCTTTTTAATTAATCCAGGTAAGTCTCTCTCTCCCTCTTCCCGTATCTTTACCGGCAAATTTACTTCATAATTAAAGTGTTCTTCATATAATTGTAATCATCATTTTCTGTTTCCAGATTCTGAATATCTGCCGCTTAACCATTAGTCGACCAGTGTCAATTCTTTGCCGTGTAAGTCTCAGCTCTTGGGCCCGACTCTTTCTGAGCATTCCCGAGAATTATCTCTACCTTATTTCAATATGTAAAGTAAAAGGACACAAATGCAACTAATGTGACATTTTATTGTGGCAACGTTTCGCTCTCCAGGAGCTTTGTCCTGGAGAGCGAAACGTTGCCGCAATAAAATGTCACATTAGTTGCACTTGTGTCCTTTTACTTTACATATTGTCGGTAATTCTACCAACTTTTTTACTACCTTATTTCAAGTTTGATTTCATTACCATTGATAGAAGTATTCCTTAGTGTAGCTAAGTGCCTTCCCGTTAGTCCTGCTTGCAAGATAGAAACCAAACCAGATACAGCAGCTATATTGAAAGCTATAGCAAATGCAATTTTCCTCAGTGTATATCACATAGAGTTTTGAAGATATAATAAGTGCCCTTGGTTCAATCACCGGCATGTTTCCATAGACCTACTGTCCCTATTCACCTAGCAGTAAGTAGGCACCTGGGTGCTTGTCGATTGTTATGGGTCACATTCTGGGGGACAAGACTGAAGGACCACAGCGGAAATAAGACAGTCCTCGATGACGCACTGGCGTTCTTGGGTTACCCAGGGTGGCTGACACATCCCCGGGTTACCCTGGGTGGCTAACACTTCCCCGGATTAAAAATCCAAGCAAATCTTATTTTAATTGCCTCTGTAGTGGAGACTCGACGCAGTAGTGACTGTAGTTACAGAAGGATGTAAGGTAGTTAAAGCAGCAGTGGACATTCTTGTCTTATACCTAACCAAGACAGGCGTACCAGAACAGAAGAATTACAAAGAACAAAAGAAGCACAATACCGTGACTCGAACAATACATAAATAACCGGCACATAGGAGAGAGGAGCTTACCACGACGTTTCGGTCCGACGTGTAGCACTGATTAGCCATATTAGTGATGTAAGTCGGACCGGAACGTCGTCATAAGCTTCTTGTTCCTATGTGCGAGTTGTGTTGCGCGCAGCAGAATTATGATGGAAGTCCAGGAGGAAGAAACACGATAGAACGAAGCCAAAAGAGAAATTACTGACCACGAGAGATTTTTCAACGACCTGACCGGAAGAGCTGAAAAATCACTCGAATGGTCAGAAACTGTATCTGGGGGTTTCTAAGTAATGTAGAAATATTTTTTCTTGCCTGATAGATCTCAAGGCGGAGAGAAACTTTGACGGGGATAAAACAAGGAGGGTATACGTGGAGAGGGTATACCTGGAGAGGTTTTCGGGGGTCAACGCCCCTGCGGTCCGGTCTGAGACCAGGCCTCCTGCTGGATTAGGGTCTGATCAACCAGGCTGTTACTGCTGGCCGCACGTAAACCGACATACGTACCAAAACAAACAAATTTGATAGACTGAAAATATAGACTCCAAGCTGAGGGACTGATTACCTCAAACTTCTTTTAGGCTTCCACCGTTCTTTGTTTTCGACTGAACAAGTCACTGGCTGGCGAAACGTTTCCAGAATAAAAACACCCAAATGTCGCACAAGTGTTTTATTCCTCAATTTGTCGGTTTTGTAAAAAAAAATTATTCACGAAGATTTCCAATCTTGAGGACGGTAATCTTGAAGACGGTAATCTTGAAGACGGTAATCTTGAGGACGGTAATCTTGAAGACGGTAATCTTGAAGACGGTAATCTTGAAGACGGTAATCTTGAAGACGGTAATCTTGAAGACGGTAATCTTGAAGACGGTAATCTTGAAGACGGTAATCTTGAAGACGGTAATCTTGAGGACGGTAATCTTGAGGACGGTAATCTTGAAGATGGTAATCTTGAAGACGGCAATCTTGAAGACGGTAATCTTGAAGATGGTAATCTTGAAGACGGCAATCTTGAAGATGGTAATCTTGAAGACGGTAATCTTGAAGATGGTAATCTTGAAGACGGCAATCTTGAAGACGGCAATCTTGAAGACGGTAATCTTGAAGATGGCAATCTTGAAGACGGTAATCTTGAAGATGGCAATCTTGAAGACGGCAATCTTGAAGACGGTAATCTTGAAGATGGCAATCTTGAAGACGGCAATCTTGAAGACGGCAATCTTGAAGACGGTAATCTTGAAGATGGCAATCTTGAAGACGGTAATCTTGAAGACGGTAATCTTGAAGATGGCAATCTTGAAGACTGCAATCTTGAAGACGGCAATCTTGAAGACGGTAATCTTGAAGATGGCAATCTTGAAGACGGTAATCTTGAAGACGGCAATCTTGAAGATGGTAATCTTGAAGACGGCAATCTTGAAGATGGTAATCTTGAAGACGGCAATCTTGAAGACGGTAATCTTGAAGACGGTAATCTTGAAGATGGTAATCTTGAAGACGGCAATCTTGAAGACGGTAATCTTGAAGACGGTAATCTTGAAGATGGTAATCTTGAAGACGGCAATCTTGAAGATGGTAATCTTGAAGAAGGCAATCTTGAAGATGGTAATCTTGAAGATGGTAATCTTGAAGACGGCAATCTTGAAGACGGTAATCTTGAAGACGGAAATCTTGAAGATGGTAATCTTGAAGACGGTAATCTTGAAGATGGCAATCTTGAAGATGGCAATCTTGAAGACGGTAATCTTGAAGATGGCAATCTTGAAGATGGCAATCTTGAAGACGGTAATCTTGAAGACGGTAATCTTGAAGATGGCAATCTTGAAGACGGTAATCTTGAAGACGGTAATCTTGAAGATGGTAATCTTGAAGACGGCAATCTTGAAGACGGCAGTCTTGAAGACGGTAATCTTGAAGATGGCAATCTTGAAGATGGCAATCTTGAAGACGGTAATCTTGAAGACGGTAATCTTGAAGATGGCAATCTTGAAGACGGTAATCTTGAAGATGGCAATCTTGAAGATGGTAATCTTGAAGACGGCAATCTTGAAGACGGTAATCTTGAAGACGGTAATCTTGAAGACGGTAATCTTGAAGACGGTAATCTTGAAGACGGCAATCTTGAAGACGGTAATCTTGAAGACGGTAATCTTGAAGACGGTAATCTTGAAGATGGTAATCTTGAAGACGGCAATCTTGAAGACGGCAATCTTGAAGACGGTAATCTTGAAGACGGTAATCTTGAAGACGGCAATCTTGAAGACGGTAATCTTGAAGATGGCAATCTTGAAGATGGCAATCTTGAAGACGGTAATCTTGAAGATGGTAATCTTGAAGATGGTAATCTTGAAGACGGTAATCTTGAAGATGGTAATCTTGAAGATGGCAATCTTGAAGATGGCAATCTTGAAGATGGCAATCTTGAAGATGGTAATCTTGAAGACGGTAATCTTGAAGACGGTAATCTTGAAGATGGTAATCTTGAAGACGGTAATCTTGAAGATGGTAATCTTGAAGATGGCAATCTTGAAGACGGTAATCTTGAAGATGGTAATCTTGAAGATGGTAATCTTGAAGACGGTAATCTTGAAGATGGTAATCTGGAAGACGGTAATCTTGAAGATGGCAATCTTGAAGACGGTAATCTTGAAGACGGTAATCTTGAAGACGGTAATCTTGAAGATGGCAATCTTGAAGACGGTAATCTTGAAGACGGCAATCTTGAAGACGGTAATCTTGAAGATGGCAATCTTGAAGACGGTAATCTTGAAGATGGTAATCTTGAAGATGGCAATCTTGAAGATGGTAATCTTGAAGATGGTAATCTTGAAGACGGTAATCTTGAAGACGGTAATCTTGAAGACGGTAATCTTGAACACGGTAATCTTGAAGATGGTAATCTTGAAGACGGTAATCTTGAAGATGGTAATCTTGAAGACGGTAATCTTGAAGATGGTAATCTTGAAGACGGTAATCTTGAAGATGGTAATCTTGAAGACGGTAATCTTGAAGATGGTAATCTTGAAGACGGTAATCTTGAAGATGGTAATCTTGAAGACGGTAATCTTGAAGACGGCAATCTTGAAGACGGTAATCTTGAAGATGGCAATCTTGAAGATGGCAATCTTGAAGACGGTAATCTTGAAGACGGCAATCTTGAAGACGGTAATCTTGAAGACGGTAATCTTGAAGATGGCAATCTTGAAGACGGCAATCTTGAAGATGGCAATCTTGAAGATGGTAATCTTGAAGACGGTAATCTTGAAGACGGTAATCTTGAAGACGGCAATCTTGAAGACGGTAATCTTGAAGACGGTAATCTTGAAGACGGTAATCTTGAAGATGGCAATCTTGAAGACGGTAATCTTGAAGACGGCAATCTTGAAGACGGTAATCTTGAAGACGGCAATCTTGAAGACGGCAATCTTGAAGACGGTAATCTTGAAGATGGTAATCTTGAAGACGGCAATCTTGAAGATGGCAATCTTGAAGACGGTAATCTTGAAGACGGTAATCTTGAAGACGGCAATCTTGAAGACGGCAATCTTGAAGATGGCAATCTTGAAGATGGCAATCTTTAAGATGGCAATCTTGAATATGGCAATCTTGAAGATGGTAATCTTGAAGATGGCAATCTTGAAGATGGCAATCTTGAGGACGGTAATCTTGAAGATGGCAATCTTGAAGACGGCAATCTTGAAGACGGTAATCTTGAAGACGGCAATCTTGAAGACGGTAATCTTGAAGACGGTAATCTTGAAGACGGCAATCTTGAAGATGGTAATCTTGAAGATGGCAATCTTGAAGATGGTAATCTTGAAGACGGTAATCTTGAAGATGGCAATCTTGGAGATGGTAATCTTGAAGATGGTAATCTTGAAGACGGTAATCTTGAAGATGGCAATCTTGAAGATGGTAATCTTGAAGACGGCAATCTTGAAGACGGCAATCTTGAAGA